TTAGTTACGGGCCATAGGCACAGCACTACACTGTTCAGATCCGTAAATTCTATGGGCGCAGTAGCGAAGAGGTTAAGGCACGAGCTTGGTGTGACAAGTTCAGCATGCATCTCAGAATGTGTGGGCAGGGTCCATGAAATAATTTATTTTTTTTGTCATGACTACAATCTAGAGTCTTCAACGGACATTGGCAATCAATGTTCACTGCTCATTTCTATAGTCGGGTACTCTCATGAGATCTATATGTGAAGCAGCGTGGTGAAATCAGGCGCTCGTCAAAATAATTAAATCAAAGAAACTGTCATTTTCTGACTTTTGGGCAATTTTTTTTCTAAATTTCTTTTTCAGCTCAACACCTTTTATGTCCATTTAAACACGCATTTCCGTGATAATTTTACTGAAAAACATTGATTAAAGGCCCAAAAACTATAAATTTCCAGTTTCCAAAGACAGACTCTCAAGCTATGGAAATAACCAAACTTTGTAGGCCATTGTCTTGCTAATTTTACCTTTGAAAGCAGGCCATCCTCACCTCCTTCAATCGCAAATATCTCCATTTCTATTCAACATAGACTGATTTTTTTTTCACCAAAAGCAAGGCAAATAAATTGGCTTTAAGATGATAACAATAACTCTATTATGCCCAAAAATTGATGAGCGCCTGATTCCAACACATCGTGCGTGGTCTTTTTCCTGTCACCTGTGTGTTCAAGTCCTCTAAATTAACTGTTCTCGTCCTAACTCTTCCTATTTTGCTTTCTGTGTTTCTATTCTATTTTTTTTTAAAGAAGTTTAAAATTCTCAAACAAACACTAAAAATCATGTCGCACCTTTGCACAGCGGGCAGGCAACTGTTCACACAGTAATAATAATAATAATAATAATAATAAATAGCATTTGTATAGCGCATATCCCCGCTCAACAGCAGGCTCTAGGCGCTTTACACTATATTATTACCCCAGCAGACCATAGAACACTCCGAAACATTCTCAGCTACCCGGGAAGCATACAGTGCAAGCAGCTGATTAAGCCCTCAAACACTAACAAACTGACAAGATATTTCACTGTCTATAGCCGGGTACCCATTCCCACCTGGGTGAAGTGAGGAGAATTCGTGTAAAGTGCCTTTCCCAAGGACACAACAACGGGCCCCTGACAGGATTCGAACTCACAACCTTACGGTTGCGAGTCTGAGAGCCTAACCACTAGGCCACCGCCGCCACAGTAGGCAGACGTTGTACCTACCAAACTTGACATACTAACAAAACTGTTACAAGGGACACTACAATTATTGTAATCCATATTGTAAGGGCAATGCAGATTTATTTACTGCTATACGCTTTATTCTAATAATGAATAATATGAAGAAGATTACAGGTGAAAAAAACAACCAAGACCTTAGATGATAATGGTAAAAAAAAAAAAAAGCTTGGCATCATATCTTAGTTTGTTTTAGTAGAGGTTTTACGGCGCTCGCAACTGCATAAGGTCATATAAGCGCCAGAAGATTAGAGGTGTTACAAGAGAGTAACAAACATAAAAAAGAAGAAGGGGAGATAAGGACGATAGATGTTTGATAGGAAAGAAGAAGCAAACCACACCAGAGCACCCGCCAACCACCCACCCACATATCTGACTTTGCTGTTTTTCTACACTCTCAATAACACACGAGACAAAAGTGTAAAGTAAATGCAACAGAAGCAGTGTCTCAAATGGGTACATTATCGTAACATGCCTCGGAGAAAGCAAAGACTGCGGACTCTAAAAACAGCAGGACAAGTAAAAAGTAAATTAAGCATTGTATTTTTTAAGTATTCCTGGTTGCTGACATTAACATTTTGCCGTCACATCTCGCCGATCAACAAGAGCGCGGAACTTCCACTCCCGTCACAAAATGCAGATCGGCGATGTTTACCACCCAGTTTCTTTGGATTTCCCCCAAAATACATGAGATGGCAAGGGTTTTTACTCTAATATGAGCCTTGTGGTGGCAATTTGTTAAAAGGTCATCAGAAGGTGTTTGATTTTGAATACTTGGGTACTTGAGTGTTGAATTAACTGTAAAATTTTAAAAAATAAAATTTTCAAACAAAGTGCAATAAAACAAAAATGACAAAACATTTAATTCCAAGTACCTTGATGGCAAAAGCAATCTCGTAAGAATTCTTTAGTACCAGATTATTCAACAAAATGAATTTTAAAAAGACATGACTTTGTACTTCTGCACACAATCCCCATCATTTTCAAAAGCATTCAGATCACCCTCTGGGACTATCAAAGAAGAAAACCAGCACATACCTGGAATAAAGAGCATATCCCCAGGGTACAAATACCCACGGTACGGTGTGGCCCCGGAAAATAGTGGAAAGCGCTCAAGATCAGGAGAATCCATGTCTAAAATTTCGGACTTGTCTCCTGAAACGAAAAAAAAAGTTGAGTTGTTAGTGCTTCTTATTGACATAGAAAAGTACAATTTTACATGCCGAAGTTAAGAAGCTGAAAACCAACATAAACAATATTTCTACCGTTAAACAAATGGGTAACAGGAAAAGATCAGGGAAAAGTAGTTTTTTTGAGAGCATCCGAGCAAAGGAATGAATGGAGAACCATGATCGTCGATGTCTGTCGCAGATCTGGCACTGGATGATTATAATTTGAAAGCTTAAAATATTTCAGTTTTAGAAAGATGAATACAAAATTATAAAAAGTTAGATTTGTTAAGAATAAAGACCTGTTCAGTGAAGAAACGAGTATACCAGAACAAAGACACACAGGAAAAGTCACAAAACGCCTTCTCCATAAAATATAACCGGGGAGAATCCTGCTCCTTTTCCATTCAGTCAATTCACGTTCTTCAATATCACTGTGTACATTCAAAAAGGAATATTAGTCTTAGTAAGTGTTTTACGGCACTTGCAACACAATAAGATCATATAAGTGCCGAAGATTAGAGATGTTACAAGAGGGTAACAAACAAAAAAAAAAAGGAGGAGAGAAAGGACAATAGACGTTTCATAGGACAGAAGAAGCAGGAATCTAAAAAAAATGGTACTGGCTGTTTACGTTTTCAGCATAAGACAGAACATTTCCTGGAGTTAGGCTGCAGTAGCCAGGGTGGGGTGAGGAATTTTCTCCTGGGGATAGGAGGTTGAATGATATCTTATGAAAATCACATTCAGGCAAACCTGTATAGAGTGCAGCAGGAGAGTGATATCAGGAAAAAAAAGGTTGGCAGAAAATAGAAAGAAAATCCAGCAACGTGTCCACATCAAAATGCAAGCACACACACACACACAGACACACACACAAACACACACACACAAACAGACACACACACATACACAAAAACACACACACAAACACACACACAAACAAACACACACACAAACAAACACACAAACACACTCACATGTGTGTGCTCCAAGAACATCTTACCATTCATGTACAAGAAGTCAGCATCGGACGGGGCAAACAGCACGACTTTTTTGCTTCCCACAATCTGGAGGAGGATGTTATCCATCACCTGGGGACCACACCAAGATTGTTGGGTTTTTAGTTAGTTCTAGTAGAGGTTTTACGGCGTTCGCAACTGCATAAGGTCATATGAGCGCCAGAAGATTACGGGTGTTACAAGAGAGTAACAAACACGAAAAAAAAGGAGGGGAGATAAAGACGAGAGATGTTTGATAGGAAAGAAGAAGCAAACCACACTAGAGCACCCGCCAACCACCCACTGTTGGTTCTTTTCCACCTTACACCAAGACTCACTTTTCTTCTTAGGTAAGTTTTTTACAGTGCTCGCAACTGCCGGAGGTCATATGAACGCACAGGACACATTAAACATTTTCAGTTGGGAGGAAATTTTGAATTTTGCCCGGGTAGCGGCCGAAGCCTACTCTTACCGATTTTAGACTACCAAAGGATCTTTCAACTTCCACACAGAACCTCCCAGATTTTTTGCCCTTGTCTGAGAAGGCTGGGTGTAGATCTTTCCTACCAGAAGACCAGGGGCGTGGCAGAAAGACAGCAGTAAGAAGGAGTCAAAGAGTAGCAGAAGAAAAGCTGCAGAAAGAGTCAGGAGCCCAGAGGAGGGGGCAAAGGAGGTGAGGGGGTGAGGGCAGAAAGAGGAGACAAAATCAGACGACAAACATTCCTAGAGAGCAGGAAAGGAGGTGAAAGGAGACAATTTTAGAGAAGGAAATTTTTCTGTCGTTACCCGGATTCGAACCCGGGACCTCAGAATGAGAGGCAAACACCTTAACCTCTAGGCAATGAGAGCCCCCTAAACCCACTTTAAAACCCTTACACTTACACCAAAATGATCGAAACAGAATTTTTTTCCAAACCTTTACACCAAGAACTATTTTTCAAACCCTTACACCACGACCAATTTTTGAAAACCTTACATCGAGATCAATTTTTAAAACCCTTACACTAAGTTGACAAGAAAAATATTTAAAACCAAAACACCAAGACTATTTTCTAAAACCCATACAGTAGACCATTTTAAAAACTCTTGTCCTACCAAGGCGTTTCACCAAGAGTGGTATCTCCGTCCCAAGTAAATTTTATAGGAACTACCAAGCTAAGGGCACTAAGGCACACCAGCAAAACATTGCACAAGAGAATTATCTGAGAAATTTCTTGCAGTCAGTCTCAGTCTACAGCTTATAAATATCTCTCTAAACTCTTTTCACTGTACATCTACTCTGATCATGTCCTCTTTTAACCACCATCCTGCCCTTTCATAGGTCTTGATGTGTTTCCCGTATAGTCGTATCATCATCATCATCATCATTGCCTTTCTCACCCTGCACCAGGGTATAGGCCACGGACAAACACCCCCCACTTTTCTCTATCCTGGGCTAGCCTCTTGATGTTATTCCATGTCTTCCCACTTTTCTGTACATCGATTTCTGTGATTCTTCTCCAAGTTCCACGAGGTCTTCCCCTTGATCTCTTGCCCTGTGGGTTCCAATCCAAAACTTTCTTTGTTATGCAGCTGCCTGACTTCCTGAGAGTACATCCAATCCATTGCCACCGCCTTCTTCCTACCTCATCTCTGACTGGGATCTGTCTTGTTTTCCTTAACACTTCCACATTGGTGGTATAGTCGTATAGTGTGCCGTAATGAATGTGCTTCGCTGTAGGAACCATGTCTTAGTTTTAGTAAGAGTTCTACTTGATACACAAAAAGGTCATATAACTGCCGAAGAATAGAAGTGTCACAAGAGAGTAACATACACAAAAAAGAAGGAGGAGAGATAAGAATGATAGATGTTTGATAGGAAAGAAGGAGCAAACCACACCAGAGCACCCACCAACCACCCACTGAACCATGTCTGATTTCATCCCTGTCACTATCATCTGAACAATAATCTCCCTCTATTTCA